ATTTAAAAGTAACAGAGTTGGAAGGGACCTTGGGGGTCATCTACTCCAACCCCCTGCTCACACAGGAGACTTATACTAGGGATTTGAACCATCAAACTACTGACCTTTCTAATTGATCAGTTCAGTATCTTAGCCCCTGAGCCACCTAGCCAGGCACTGATTTCTGGCATTGTAATTACAATTAAAATTATAATTGGTTGTCTCCTCTCAAGATTTGAATCATAGTAGCAAATTTTGTTGTTGAAGAACACCTTAATTCTTGTGTTTTTCCACAACTGTCACCAATTTGCAATAGTCTGCAAAAGTGCTGTCTGTGCAAATATCTGCATGGCAGTCTGCCTTTCCACACACACACACACACCGATGTTTTCAATTGCTGCTCCCTTACTAGTTTTAGTGTGTTAAGACAGAACAGGGCCATCTCTATTATTAGCTGTAAATAGAAGATGGCTGCTGGGAAACTGGTTCACTGGCCTTGGGGTCGTGTTGCCCAAACAGCTTGCAAGATAACCTCTAGGTTCTACGCTCAGAATAATTTGTGATCAGCCACGTCCCAGGGATCAACTCTAGCATACCTTAAATTAAAATTCTGTGGTTTTAATAGGAAAGGGTAAGTCTATGGGAGAAATCAATTTACTACAAACTAGGTGAGATGGTTCCTGAAAAGGCGATCTTTGACTATGCAGATAGTCCTTGACTTGCGACCACAATTGAGGCCAGAATTGATGCTGCTAAGTGAGAAAGTTGTAAAATGAGTTTTGAGCCATTTTACAACTTTTCTTGCCTCATTTGTTAAGTGAGTCATTGCCCTTGTTAAATTAGTAACACGGTTGTTAAGTGACTCTGGCTTCCCCATTGATTTTGCATGTCAGAGGGTAGCAAAAGATGATCACATGACACTGCAACAGTCATAAATACGAATCAGCTGTCAAGCATCTGAATTTTGATCATGTGACCATCGGCATGCTGCAAAGGTTGTAAGTGTGAAAAATGGTCATAAGTCATTTTTTTCAGTGCTGTTGTAACTTCAACAGTACTCACTTGCTTCCTTGACTTGACATCACAGTTCCTCACTTTTCCACAGGAACTATTTAATAACTCTTAAACTAGAAAGAAGCAATGAATTTCTCATTTAAATAAATTAATTGCAACACAAATACAGAATTGGGGGGGGGGAAGCACCCTGGGTTTATAGGGTAGGGGTGGGGTGGGGTGCTAGCAGAAGAGCACTAGGGAGTAAGGATGCACGTATTTCATTTCCCAACCTTTTCACAGACTTTTGAAAGGGCAATGGAATAAATACTGAAATAAAGTAACTGTAAACCTATGCTAAATAGTTTCTGTATTTCTATCTGTCATTCATACGTAAAGATCATCATCTGACATTTACACATGTGTGAGAATCAGACTGATTCACATATGTATACAAAAATGCTATTTAAAGTAAAGGTATCCAACTTTAGCAACTTTATGACTTGTGGACTTCAGCTCCCACAATTCCCCAGCCAGCTATGCTATGTAGCCGTCCTCTTCCAGATAGATCAGCTGCAAACACTAGTTTTCACGAACCAGCTTCATTATGGAACTATTAAAAAAAAACAGGAAGTAGAAATCTGAAGCCACAAACTCCTGTTCTTTCATCATTAGAACTGTCATGAGGAAGTGATGATTGTCCATTGCTGTGAAATAGTGAATAAAAAGAATTTTAGCCTTGCTAAACTGGATTCCCAAAGACCCAGCAAACTAGCAGCTACCCTTTTCAATGGGACAGGAAGGAATAAGATACATATACTCCATGCTTCTTTAAGATTTTTAAAGTTTAACAAAAAAGGGAGTAATGAAATCTCTTGCATTGGGCTGGGAAGAGAGAAAGCCCAGCCTGCCCCAAACTCTCACCCTGCAACCCACAACTTTAGGTAACTCACATTTTGCATTTATCCTTTATAATGAGAATATCTTTTATTCTCTGTAGGACAGCTGTAGGTCAGCTGTCCCAGTTCCTTAAATAAGGAAAGACCACAGGAAGGGAAAGTGCAAATTCCCCCCAAGTTTCCCCATCGTGAGCAAATATAATCCCCATCGTTTCCGTTTCTTCCATTAGCCTTCCCTAACCTGATCTCCTTTTGAGGTGCTGGCTAACAGGCTTCTTGTAACCACCCAGCTCAGCCACAATAAAAAAAAACTCTGCATAGCTAGAGAAAAAACACAGCAGAAGGTTAGCACCACCAGGAAAACTAGAGATGCCCAAAGCAATAAGTAAAGTTAGTTTTGAATTTCAGGACACAGATTACCACTGAAAAAGTCTAAAGCAGAGAGAGGAAGCCTAGGAAGAATTTCAGGCAGAAAGGAGATGAGGACAAGAGCCTGAAGCTCTTATGATACATGGTTTTTGTTGTTAGTTGCAAAGTTGTGTCCAACCCATCGTGACCCCATGGACAACATTCCTCCAGACCTTCCTGTCCTCTAATATCCTCTGGAGTCCATTTAAGTTCATGCCGACTGCTTCAGTGACTCCATCCAGCCACCTCATTCTCCGTAGTCCCTTTTTTCTTATGCCTCCATCATTTCCAGCATTGGGCTCTTCTCCAGTGAGTCCTTCCTTCTCATTAGATGGCCAAAGTACTTGAGTTTCATCTTCAGGATCTGACCTTCTAAAGAGCAGTCAGGGTTGATCTCCTCTATGAGTGACTGGTTTGATCACCCAAGGGACTCCCAGGACTGATTTTTGCCTAGCCCCAATTGCACCCTGTTCCCATTGCTTTTACTCTTGGAAGGAATTAGCTTGCTTACTTTTTCCCTCTTTTTTTGGTTCCCTTCTTGGCAGAGAAAATAAAGTAAGAATGAACCATGGAAGCCACAGCAGCTGCTTTTTCTTCTCTCAACACCTTTCTCTGCTCATGATTTGTCATTCCATTCAGCTCCCACCCCACCCCATTTATGACATTAGCAATGGTGGGGAAGGAAGGGGAAACTAAGCAGGCAAAGGAAAGGAGAAGAGACTTAAGGCAGAAGCAAGTAAGAAAGTATTGCAATCTTTCCCATGTGGTGCCCTCCAGATGTGTGGGATTATCTTCCATGTGCCAACCCCAGTTGTCATGCTCTTTCTTCATTCAGTTCTCCTCTGAAATGTTTGTTTCTCTTTTCTATTTAACTGCATGTAGTTTATACATTAGTTTAATGCCATGTTTCTTAACCTTAGCAGCTTTAAGATGAGTGGACTGCAACTCCCAGAATTCCACAGCCAGCTTTGCTGGCTGTGGAATTCTGGGAGTTGAAGTCCACCCATCTTAAAGCTGCTAAGGTTAAGGAACACTGGTTTAATGTATTGTTACTGTGCAAATGCTTTTGGATAGGAAGCAACATAAAAAGCTATTTACTAATATACCATTCTTCACCACATTATTTGTTCTGTTTATAGAAACAAAAAATGAAGCTCATGTTGCATTTTCCATGTGCTAAGGAACAAAACCCCAATCTTCTAGTTATGGAAGACTAGCAATACATGTAACAGACCCATTCAGGGAGGGGAGGAGGTTAACCAAATCTGCAGGATCACAACAGAGAAGAAAAGGGGATCTAATTCTAAAATCCCAGGTCTTCACATACAAAGAAGGCTGTAAAAATAAGAGCGGATAAATGGCAATGATCATTAAAGTGAATGTGTTTCACTCTTCACATTAAGAGAATGGAAGTGGAGCAACGTGTCAGAAGAACTTTCAATCACAGCCCCAATTCACTATTGCTAGAAGAACATTCATCTCTATAAAGGATGCCTAATAGGAGAGAGTTTTGGGTCAGTTTGGGTTTTCCCAGTTGCAATGTATGGCTGTGAAAGTTGGACCATAAGAAAGGCTGAGCGCCAAAGAATTGAGGCCTTTGAACTATGGTGCTGGAGAAGACTCCTGCGAGTCCCTTGGACTGCAAGACAATCAAACCGGTCAGTCCTAGAGGAGATCAACCCTGATTGCTCTTTAGAAGGCCAGACCCTGAAGATGAAACTCAAATACTTTGGCCATCCAATGAGAAGGAAGGACTCACTGGAGGCTAATGGGAAAGATTGAGGACAAAAGAAGAAAGGGATGACAGTGAATGAGGTGGCTGGATTGAGTCACTGAAGCAGTTGGAGTGAGCTTAAATAGACTCCAGAGGATGGTAGAGGACAGGAAGGCTCTGGGAAAGCTGCTGAGGAACTCTACACAGGGGGTCATGATGGGTCCGACACGATTTCGCAACTAACAACAAACCCTGTATAGAGTTCCTCAGCAGCTTTCCCAGAGCCTCTTGCCTCTTACTACCTCTCTGTTCTATAGACTGTTGTCTCCACAAGAGCCACTTCAAGCAATAGACAGGTTAACAACATATAGGCAAACGCCTATTAGAAGCACAAGCCAACACTGACTCAAGAAATTTAATAAATACTTGGCAGGTTGTGAGAGGAGGAACAGGGTTTCATAATTTTTTTTCTCTTCCTATCATCTGTTCCAAACCTCAGCTTCATTGTGTGAGCGTGGTTTCAATGCAGTTATGCACATATTGACTAGGCTTCTTACTGTATGATGAAAAGTGACCAAATACATATGTTGATATGCAAGGTGAAAAACCGTAACTTATTCTCTTCTCCCCATCCCAGGCAGATACAATAGTTCTTAATAAATAGTTCTATATTGGGTCACCTTAAAAAAACAGAGGAGTTCACCCAACTCATAATATATTGTAACCCTGCCTGTGTCTTTCCTGTATTCTCCATCTTGCAGATAACACGTGCATAGGTGACTGCAGGCAGGGTCCCTGTTTGTATGGCCAACTCACAGATGTGGTGCGGGAAGCAACACACACACCCCCCACATAAAAACGGAAAGGGTTTCCCTCCCTTAAACTTCCAGGTTTCAGTAATAAGGGTTTGTTAATAAGCAGACGCGGATGCAAGAATCGCGCAGCAACGCTTAACACAGCATCGTCCGGCTGTCAACCGCGCATAGGGACGCATCGGGGTCACTCACGTGTCTCCGTCCTCGGATAGGAAATCAAGGGTCTTCAGCAGCTGCTGCCTAAGCCTCTCCTCCTGCTCCTCTTCCTCCTCCTTCTCCAGGTTTGGCTCCCCTTGCAGCCCAGTTAAGGACTCCACAATAGAGGAAGAGCCGTAACTCGAATCAAGCCTCTCGTCTGCCGGCTCTTCTTTGCCTGGACTGGGAGTTCCAGGGATTTTATCCAGCGGAATCCTTCCGGCAGTAGCCGGGGACCGGGGCTCCGCTTCTCCAGGCTGGCCAGACAGGGAACGGATAAAATCGATACCCGAGTCGCACTGTCCTTCTTCCAGGTACGCGCCGCCGCCGCCTTCCAGCAGCATCTCTTTCTTCTCCCCGTAACTCTGAATCTCCGACATGGTCCCCAGCGCAGGAAGCCGGCGTGGCTCTCCCCCAGGAAAGACGCGGGGCCCCGGGCGTTTAGAAGACCGGCACACGCAAAGTCCGAAAACGAGGAGAAGCTGAAAACCCCGGAAAGCTCATGCCCAGAACATAGCAAACCAAAAGCCTGTGTAAAAGAAAGAAGCAAGCAGAACTGCCTGCTCCGCCCGAGTTCCTCCCAGCAGCAATAAAATCCGCCTCTTCTCCCACCCCCTCGTGGGAGGGCGCCATCTGGCGGCGCGAGTGAAAACGACTTCCTCCTCCGCTGGCCTTGGGATCCCGACTCTTGCTCTGTTTTCCGCACTGAGGTCACACTGGAGTGAAATTCAGCAGGTTCTGACAGGTTCTGGAGAACCCCTAGTGGAAATTTTGAGTAGTTCGGAGAACTGGCAAATACCACCTTTGACTGGCCCCAGAATGGGGTGGGAATGGAGGTTTTGCAGTATCCTTCCCCTGCGCACTCACCAAGCCACACTCACAGAATCTGTAGTAAAAAAAATTGAATTTCACCACTGGGTCACACTTGCCCTCTTTTCTTTCTTTCTTTCTTTCTTTCTTTCTTTCTTTCTTTCTTTCTTTCTTTCTTTCTTTCTTTCTTTCTAATTTAATTTGTCACTCATGTACAATATCACAGGACTAAGAATAAACATGAATAAGAATACAGGAAATGGGTACAAATAAATGGGGACAGTAGGACAGGTGCACTTATGCACGCCCCTACAGACCTCTTAGGAATGGGGTGAAGTCTACAGTATACAGTTTAAGGTTAAAATTATGGAGGTTTGAGGATGTAACAATTTTTTTATCATTTTCCATTTATTTGTATGCCGCCCCTTTCCCTGGGGGGACTCAGGGCGGCTCACAGTTCAAAAAAAGGGGGGGGAGGACAAACAATTTCCAACATACAGACAATACAACATATTAAAAAACACAACAGCCACACAAATTCGAGTGGGGTTAGAGTCTTAACCCCAGGCCAGCCGGGACAGCCAGATCTTTAGGGCGGCGCGGAAGGACTGGAGGGTGGTGAGGGTCCGAATCTCCACGGGGAGTTCGTTCCAGAGGGTCGGAGCAGCCACCGAGAAGGCTCTCCTCCGGGTAGTTGCCAGTCGACACTGGCTAGATGATGGAATTCGGAGGAGGCCTAATCTATGCGATCGTATCTAGTGGAGGTAATTGGCAGTAGGCGGTCTCTCAAGTACCCAGGTCCAATACCATGAAGGGCTTTGTAGGTGATAAGTAGCACCTTGAATTGCACCCGGAGATCAACAGGTAGCCAGTGCAGCTCACGGAGGATAGGTGTTACGTGGGTGAACCGAGGTGCACCCACGATCGCTCGCGCGGCCGCATTCTGGACCAGCTGAAGTCGCCGAATGCTCTTCAACAGAGTCAGGTAGTGCATTCCAAACATTGACCACTCTGTTGCTGACGTCGTATTTTCTGCAATCGAGTTTGGAGCGGTTTACCTTGAGTTTGTATCTATTATGTGCTCGTGTAGTATTGTGGTTGAAGCTGAAGTAGGGTTAGGAAGATGCCAAAATGGAACTTTTCCGAATAACATTTGTGCATTGAGACGATGTCATCGGGGTTGAATGTATTGAATTTGAGGTTGGGTGTGAATTTATTTCATTTTTTCCTCCCCGGTTTAATAATGTACTGTCGCCGTTTTATCGTTTTCATTTACGGTGGATGTCTTAATGTTGTGGAAACATCTTGGCTGAATTACAGAGTTAGAATAACTTTATTGTCACTTTGAATGTACACTAATCGGCATACATTAAAATGGAATTTCGTCGCATACACAGCTCTCTCCTAAAGGTGCTTTTTCAGGAGGCAGCTTTGACAGGATTACCAGCTGTCTGCAAGGAATATAAATCCTTCCATTCCCCACTATCCTTTCAGAGCTGAAGAAGCTTCTTGGATGAGAAGTGAAAGGTCTTCAAAGGAAAAAAACAAGAAAGTCCAGTTGCCTCCTGAAAAGGCACCTTTGGGGCAACCATGACCTGGGTGACTGAGAATCTCTACAGACACAGCTCCATGAATACATCTCTAACTAAACAGAATGAATAAATGTGGGCCGGGGCAGACGTTAGAAAGCAACCCAGCTCAGCAGTTTTTAGATGCTGAACTTAATAAATCCATATGATCCTCAGCCAATCTGTCCTCAGCCACAATGGGGTTGCAAACAACAGACAATTCCTATTTAGAGGAAAAGGAGGATTTTTCCGGCCCTGCCACCTGCATTCCAGAACATGAAGAGAACTTGAGTTCTTGTGATCTTTATACAAATGTACATGTGAAAATGCATGCACATTCAGGAATAATTTCTCTTCCAGCCGGCTTCATGTGTTCAATGCTGTATACAAATACAAGTAGTGTCCAGTTCACAACAGTTCATTCAGTGACTGTTGGAAGTTACAACGGCCCTGAAAAAAGTAACTCAAGACCATTTTTCACACTTAACAATGGTTGCAGCAACCCCCCCTCCGTTCATGTGATCAAAATTCAGGTGCTTCGCAACTGACTCGCATTTATGACAATTGCAGTGTTTCGGAGTCAGGTGATCATTTTTTGCAACCTTCTGACAATCAAGGTCAACGGGGAAGCCAGATTCATTTAGCAACTGGGTTATTAATTTTAACAACTGCAGTGATTCACTTAACAGCCGTGGCAATAAAATGGGGCAAAACTCACTTAACTGTCTCACTCCTGGAGAAGGGCGGCATACAAATAAACCAAATACAAATACACTTTGCAACAAAATTTTTGGGCTCAAGTTGAGGACTACCATATTTGTACAAAAGCCAGAATAAAGCTAAAGTCACAACAACAGATTTGCAGATTACAACACTTTTTGTAACTACTCATTGTACACTTTGTGCATATATATGAATTTATCCAAGTTTGATGTGATGTGGATTACATATTGCATTTTAGCCATAGCAAGACTAACATCACTGTAAATGAATTACAGGAGTATGTGCATTGGATATGTTCTCATATGTACTCTACTATAGGATCTAATTTACAAACATTGAGAGATCTGTAACTTGCATGAACATTTAGAAACATTCCTTTCTTTTCATATTTTAAAAGAAAGCCCAGGAACTCATACAGCCAGGAACTATAGGCAACAATAACTTGCAACAAGAATTTTTCACTGCCTTAGGAGCTACAGGAAATTTACTATTGCTCCAGGACTTATCAGCAGGCAGCTCCAGCAAAATAAATTAAACTAAACAACTATATTTTAACTTCACAAGTGTAGAATGAACCTGGTCCACATACTATTTTCACTGTTGCATAAATCCAGGAAATTGTGTGAATTGAGTAAGCATGATTCAGTGAACCATGAGGAAGGGTGACATCAGTGTCTGTATGATCAAAGTCATCACAATATTGTCAACTACAGCAAGAAAAATTACATACCACCAAAGCAATAATGTGAATTATAAAGCTAGTACAAACAAATTGCTTAACCCTGTTTAACAGATTGGCATCTTAAAATCTGCTTTTAAAGTAGTCAGTGGCTTCAGTTTTTATCCTCTGACCTTGTTGCTACAATAGTGCTGGACTGCAAAAAAACAAAACAGTATAAACTTTTTTTCTTGGAGTCTCTCCACTGTGTTATAATTGAAGTTATAAAATTGATCTGTAGGTAGAAGACTGAATCTGAGTGGCAGAGAGATCAGAATTTCTTGGATTTAATTCCTGGTATCTTGAAAGTAGACACAGGTTTGAATACTTAAAATCATTTATTTCAATCAAACATTGCCAATAGAATCTAGGGCAGTAATGGCGAACATTTTAGACACTGAGTGCCCAAACTCTGCACGTGTGCATGCCCAAACTGAAAGGTGTGTGCACACGCATGAATGTACCAGGGGTGGGTTCCTGCCAGTTCTAACCTCTTCTATAGAAGAGGTTCACAAATCTACCGTGCTGTTTAGAACTGGTTCCAGCTCCCCCCCCACCCGTCCGCACCACGCTTGCCCCATCCGCCACTCACTGAATAGATGGCTCACCAATCGCCCTGCCCATCTCTAAGAGTCCTGTCTAAAACTTAAAGTCTTAAACTGTCAAGTTTGAACACCCCTGGTTTTTTTTTCTAAAGGGTTAGAGGTGCAAGGGTTTTGTAACTTGACAGCTTTAATACTTGCACACTTCAATGCCAGAGTTCCTGAGCCAACATGACTGGAGGAGGAATTCTGGGAGTTGAAGTCCACAAGTCTTAAAGCTGTCAAGTTTGAACACCCCTGGGATCTTTTTTTCTAAAGGGTTAGGTGCAAGGGTCTTGTAACTTGACAGCTTTAATACTTGCACACTTCAATGCCAGAGTTCCTGAGTCAACATTTTTGTTGCTAATCAAGAGTGTTGTTAAGTGAGTTTCACCACATTTTACAAGCTGGCCATGCCCACCCAGTCACATGACTGCCAAACCACTCCCACAAAGCAGGCCACACCTCCAGAGAAGAGGTTCTAAAAAAATTTGAAACCCACCACTGGAATGTACGCAAGTGCCAACATACGCACATGTTCATGCACTCTCATGCACACACGCATGCGCAGACATGCACACATGTGCAGCAGAGACCCAAAGCTGGTCAGTGAGAGGCAGGGCATCCCAACACCGGTAATGTGGCAAGAGGTAAGATTTTTTTTCCTTTGTGAGCTTCTGTTTTGTTGTTTGCAGGGAAACAGAAGCTCATGAAAGAAACGCCACGGAGATCCAACCTGGGGCGAATAGCATGTGTGCCAGCAGAGAGGGCTCTGCGTGCCACTTCTGGCACACATGTCACAGGTTCGCCATCACAGATCTAGGGTTTGGGTTTGTTTAACTGCAAGATATTCATGATCCCATGAAATCTATGGAGAACTTTGACATCCATACCAAGACTCAGAGTCCCTCTAAGAGTGAGATGAGCTACATTTAAATATGATAAATAAATAAGACCCACTTGATTGATACAGCTCTAGTTTACAAAGCCTCCTTGTAAAACTTTATGTAGTTAGACCCAACATCGCTTCTCCATCCACCTCAGCTAAACCAAATGGAATCAGACACATACTGG